GAATATGTAGCTTATTATGGATGTACATTTTCTGGCTTTTACAATATAAAGGTTACAGTACAGGTGAAACTCGAAAAATTAGAATATTGTGCAAAAGTTCATTTATTTCAGTAATGCAACTTAAAAGGTGAAACTAATATATGAGATAGACTCATTACATGCAAAGTGAGATAGTTCAAGCCTTGATTTGTTATAATTTTGATGATTATGGTTTACAGTTCATGAAAACCCCAAATTCACAATCTCAGAAAATTAGAATATTACATGAAATCAATAAAACAAGGATTATACATAGAGCAATACTGAACCTGTGAAAAGTATAAGCATGCATATGTACTCAGTACTTGGTTTGGGCCCCTTTTGCATCAATTACTGCCTCAATGCGGCGTGGCATGGATGCTATCAGCCTGTGGCACTGCTGAGGTGTTATGGAAGACCAGGGTGCTTCAATAGTGGCCTGCAGCTCTTCTGCATTGTTCGGTCTCATGTCTCTCATCTTTCTCTTGGCAATGCCCCATAGATTCCCTATGGGGTTCAGGTCAGGTGAGTTTGCTGGCCAATCAAACACAGTAGGCACCTTGTTTGTGTGGTGCCGCAAGGGTCGGTCCTCTCACCCCTCCTGTTCAACATTTATGTGAAGCTGCTGGGTGAGATCATCCGTGGTTTTGGGGTGAAGTTCCATCAGTACGCTGATGATACTCAGCTGTACATCTCCACCCCGAACCACCCCATGATGCCCTTGACGTGATGTCCCGGTGCCTGGAGACCGTGTGGATCTGGATGGGGAGAAACAAGCTCAGACTCAGCTCCTCCAAGACCAAGTGGCTGTGGTTTCCGGCGACCCGGTATAGCCCGCTGGTTCCATCGCTGACTATTGGGGGTGAGATCTTGGCCCCCTCAGAGACGCTCGCAACTTAGATGTCCTCCTGGATGCACGGCTGTCTCTTGAAGATCATGTGACAGCTGTGGCCAGGGGAGCTTTTTATCAGGTTTGCCTGATTCACCAGTTGCGTCCCTTTCTGGACCGGGACTCCTTGCGCACGGTCACTCACGCCCTCGTCACCTCCCGTCTGGACTACTGTAATGCTTTCTACATGGGGCTCCCCTTGAAGAGCACTCGGACGCTCCAACTGGTCGAGAATGCGGTCGCGTGGGTGATTATGGGAGCGACACGGCGCACCCATGTAACACCTTTCCTGCGTGAGCTGCACTAGCTCCTGGTGGTCTTCCAGGTGCGATTCAAGGTGTTGGTTACCATCTTTAAAGCGCTCCATGGCTTAGGACCTGGGTACTTACGAGATCGCCTTCTGCTACCAATAGCCTCCCACTGGCCAATACGCTCCCACAGAGCGTCGACTGGCGACCCCCAGGGGGAGAGCCTTCTCTGTGGGGGCACCTGCCCTCTGGAATGAATTGCCCCCGGAGATACGGATGATTCCTGACCTACGCGCCTTTCACCTCAAGATGTTATTGTTCCAACAAGCTGGGCTGGCCTAAACATGAATTTTAATGGTTGTTTTAGTTTTTTTAATAATATCGGGGCCAAATTATTTAATATATTTTTAAATTGCTTTTAAATTTTTTGTATATGTGTGTTTTAGTGTTGGCTGTGCACCGCCCTAAGTCCTTTGGGAGAAGGGCGGTATAAAAATTTAAATAATAAATAAATAGTAATCCCATGGTCATTGAGCCAGGTTTTGGTACTTTTGGCAGTGTGGACAGGTGCCAAGTCCTGCTGGAAAATGAAGTCAGCATCCCCATAAATCTCATCTGCAGAAGGAAGCATGAAGTGCTCCAAAATCTCCTGGTAGACGGCTGCGTTGACCCTGGACTTAATGAAGCACAATGGACCAACACCAGCAGATGACATGGCTCCCCAAATCAACACAGACTGTGGAAACTTCACACTGGACTTCAAGCATCTTGCAGTGTGTGCCTCTCCATTCTTCCTCCAGACTCTGGGTCCTTGGTTTCCAAATGAGATGCAAAAGTTGCTCTCGTCAGAAAAGAGGACTTTGGACCACTGAGCAACAGACCAGTTCTTTTTTTCTTTAGCCCAGGTAAGACACTTCTGACGTTTGTTGTTCAGGAGCGGCTTGACGAAGAATATGACATTTGAAGCCCATGTCCAGGATCCGCCTGTGTGTGGTGGCTCTTGATGCACTGACTCCAGCCTCTGTCCACTCCTTGTGAAAGTCCCCAACACTTTTGAATGGCCTTTTCCTGACAATCCTCTTCAGGCTGCGGTCATTCCTGCTGCTTGTGCACCTTTTTCTTCCACACTTTTCCCTTCCACATAACTTTTTATTAATGTACTTTGATACAGCACTTTGGGAACATCCAACTTCTTTTACAATTACCTTTTGAGTCTTTCCCTCCTTATGGAGGGTGTCAATGATGGTTTTCTGCACAACTGTCAGGTCAGCAGTCAATTTCCCATGATTTTGAATCTCAGAAAATTAGAATATTGTGAAAAGGTTCAAAGTGTCCCACTCTAATCAGCTAATTAAGCCATAACACCTGCAAAGGGTTCCTGAGCCTTTAAATGGTCACATTCACATTCCTACTGAACCAGACTGAGAGACCATTTAAAGGCTCAGGAACCCTTTGCAGGTGTTATGGCTTAATTAGCTGATTAGAGTGGGACACTTTGAACCTTTTCACAATATTCTAATTTTCTGAGATTGTGAATTTGGGGTTTTCATGAGCTGTAAGCCATAATCATCAAAAGTATGACAAATCAAGGCTTGAACTATCTTGCTTTGCATGTAATGAGTCTATCTCATATATTAGTTTCCCCTTTTAATTTGCATTACTGAAATAAGTGAACTTTTGCACGACATTCTAATTTTTCGAGTTTCACCTGTATATTACTAATGACCTCACAGTCTCACAGCTTCCTGATTGGCAGAAAATCTCAGGGTCCCCATTATTACACCACCTGAAAGCTGCTTCTGATATAAATTGTTCTTCAGCTTAAATTTCATCTCACTTCTGCATGTTATTATTCAAAGTAACCAAATAATAGGGTTCTTCATGTTCTTCAAATGGGAAGAACACAAACCTACTTTTAATGTAAAAACCCCATAAATCAAAGGATATATTACTGCACTGTTAATGTTAATGTTATTTATCTCCCTAAAACTATTCTAAAGATGCTTAGCTCGTTTTAAGCAAAGTTTAGAACAGTTTTCTTTCATGATTTTAATGTTCATAAATCAATAACTGTTGATAATTTGTTTAAAATGACACAAAATAATACTGTTCTGTTATGCTTTTCCATCTTTTTAGTATGAAAATTGAATGATTCCAAATTCTTCTAGCATGCCAATATATTTTTACTAATTTTTTCCTGCCAAAATAAATGAGCTTTAAGGTCAGCATTTGTTGCATAATCAGAAAGGGTGTATATGCTATTTCACTCTTAAAATTTTTGAAGTTATTTTATTAAGCTTAAATTAAAAAATGCAAGATTGTTACATTTGTTTCCAAGTTATAATAGCTATATACAGGTAGTCCTCAACTTATGACCACAATTGAGCCCAAAATTTCTGTTGCTATTGACAGTTGTTAAATCAGTTGCACTTTATTTTACAACTTTTTTGCTACAATTGTTAAAAGCAAGTCACTGCAGCTGTTAAGTGAATCATGTGGTCATTAAGCAAATCTGGCTTCTGCATATGATTTTGCTTATCAGAAGCCAGGTTTAAAGGTTACAAATGATCACATGACCAAACGACAGCAATTGTCATAAATACATGCCAGTTGCCAAGTGCCCAAATTTTGATCACATGATCATGGGGAGGCCACAATGGTCGTAAAAACAGTCATAAGTCATTTGTTTTAGTGCCATTGTAACTTTGAACGGAAACGAAATGAATGGTTGTAAGTTGAGGGCTACCTATACCCTGTATTATGCAGCATAATGGTGTGTTTGAAGTGAACGTAGGCTATATATTTCAGAAGTTTAAGAAAGGATGTAAGCAATGTAGGATATACTTTAATCAGTATCTTGGATCAGTATGCATAAAAGGACTGGGGTCTGAATATTCCCTGAAAAATCTAACAGGATTCTGTGCATGAGACAGAATATTTTTGGCAATGAAAATGTTTTCCATATATAAAGTAAAGGTAAAGGGGACGGTGCTCATCTTTCAAAGCCGAAGAGTTAGCGCTGTCCGAAGACGTCTCCGTGGTCATGTGGCCGGCATGACTAAACACCAAAGGCGCACGGAACATTGTTACCTTCCCACCAAAGGTGGCCCTATTTTTCTACTTGCATTTTTTACGCGCTTTCAAACTACTAGGTTGGCAGAAGCTGGGACAAGTAATGGGAGCTCACCCCGTATGCGGCACTAGGGATTCAAACTGCTGAACTGCTGACCTTTCGATTGACAAGCACAGCATCTTAGCCAGTGAGCCACCGCATCCCTAGACTTTTCATATATAGTGTGTGGTAAATTGACACTTTGCAATGCTTCCTTGCCAAGAAGGAGAAAGGGAGCATATGATAGAAAATGTGACAGAATACTAATCAAGTAAAAAGTCTGGGAAATCAGTGGGTTCTTCAAATAGCAGAAACTTGTTCTCTCGAAGAAGGAAAGTCAATCTTGGGAAACAGAATTGAAGTGAAAATCAGTTGTATTAATTTTTGCTTCATATTTTTAACTTCAAAATGTACACAAGGATTTGTCATTTTTGCCAAAGCTGGAGCACAGAGGGAGAATATTTTCAAATTGATTTTGAAAATATGACAAATCTGATTTCTTCAATCTGAATCTGTTTTGTTTGAATATTGTTAATGTCTTCATAAAATATGCAGGTATAAGATACCTTTCCAATTACTGCTAAGAGACAATACCCTTCTTCTCTACTACAACTCACACTTATTCAGTTTTACTTTGTTTTGTATTTCATCATCAGGGAACCAGTCATGATACTCTAGGAAGTGGCAAACTCTTTTCTGCTTTCAGAATTCTAGCCTGCTGAAGAGACCAAGAATCTGGATAATTTTTAATCACAATATTCAATACAAGGTTAGTACAAAGGGGGTTGCAGGGGAAGAGAGAAAAATCACTGAAAACTTATTCTGGGTATTACGGTATTTATTTCCCAATTACGGAGAGGCACCTGTCATCTTTTTAGACTTTCATTTTTGTAAAAATCAAAAATGTTGAAGTCAAAGCCTTGGTCCATGCACCACAGGAGACACTTTTTCTCCATCCCTGATAAGAAGTATGTGAGAATTTTACTTGTTCACAAAAATAAATTTTAGATTGACATCTTTTTTAACAATCAGCTTTATACACAAAGATAGTGGCACTGAATAAGGCTACTCCCTCCAATTTAAAAAATGCCCCTAATATATGTTGCAAGTATTTTAAGACCATATTACTATTTCAGAAGAATTCAAGCACTAATGTCTAAATAGTGTTCTATTCTTAACCCACAGGCCAAAATATTAGGGCCTGTCAGTTCAGGAAGTAAACAAAAACATTCTTTATATATTTGGAAAGCGCTTAATTCAAAATTACATGAATATACTGCACAACATGGCTGACCATAAGGGGAATACTGAAATACTAGGATGGGGAGAAAAGTGTTCAATACTTGGTTCTTTCCAACCTTAATCTTAATACTGGAAAATATATAAATCATTTATATAACATTATGCAAAAGAAGGCACAGCCGGTTATAGTTTATACAAGCAGGATGCATTATACGCAGAAGTACAGAAGTAAAACATTTCACATCCTTTACATATTGTTTAGAAATGTATTAAGAAAGATAACTTCATTAACAGTGTTCAACACTTGGAGAGCAGGATATAAAAATTATAAGTTGTTTTAATGCACAAAAGATTTCTTATACAAAAAACCCCCTCACTGTATAAAAATGCTAAATAAACACCATACAAGTAGGTCATCTGTGTAATGGAAAGTGCAAACCATAGTAAAAGAGTTTCATCATGTCCTCCTGGCTTTACCAGAAAAATGAAACCCATCAGAATGGCTGTGTCAAATCCAGTTTATTAGTGAGTCCCCAGTTTGCTGAGACATCAGGATTTATGAGCATTTGGAGAAAGGAGAACTGGAGAAGAGGCCCCATCCAAGCTGGGGATTTGCATTGGGATATGACCATTTAGCAGAGTTGGAAACTGTAAAAAAAAAACAAAGGTAAATGTCACTGATATTCGCATTCTATCTATGTGTAAGTTCTCAAACATTGTTTTTAATGATACATGGAGGCTGCTGATTGCAGCAGGTACAAGTAAAATAATTTTAAAAAGATGCACCAGATCGAAGTTAAACATCATTTTGGATTGGATGAATATGAGATGGTTCAGAAAAAGGCATTCAGGGAAAGCAGATATTTAGGACATAGATTCTTGGGGGGGAAACCTAAGTTAAAACTTCCTTGTGATTTTTGAGTAAGCTAATACTTTTTCATTTTATTCTAAAATGAATCGCTATCAATCTGAGGTTTGACATATTTTTTTGTAAATGAATTAAAGTTAAAATAAATCTCAGAACTACAGGTTTGTATATAACATTGGGTTGGGGAAGAAGCATATGAATCTGTAAGAGTAAGACCACCTCAATAAAGCTGATGAATAGGGTGCACGTTGTTTTATTTTAGCAATCAGAATATGATAAAAAAAAAATCATAGAAATAATATTGAAAAGAATTACAATGCAAATGTCCATAAATTCTGCAAGACATTCTAATCTTCAAGACAATAATTAATGCCTAATGAAATCAAATAATCCCCATAAAGACTAATGTTTTTTAATTTATTAAAATTTAATAATTTAAATTAATTTATTTAAATTGCTTGTATATCAGCTTAGGCCCATGATTCAGAACAGTTTAGAGCATAAAAACAGATAACAAAATAAACTTCAAAAATATTGTAGTAGCTCAGGTCACCACTACTTATTAAAAGCCCAAATAAGATGTTTTTCATAGATTTCCAGAAGGTTATCAAGAAAAGGACTAAACTAAATTGGAGGCAAGGTAGTCCAGTGACGTAAGTCTACTATAGACAAAGTTTGTACCCCTCATCTCAAAGGGATGAAACTTTAATATCTTTCTCAATGATCTCAAAGATCAGAAAAAAATATTTTGAAAAAGATTACCTCAAATGCCCAGCGCCACACCATATATGACTTTACAGGTCATGACCAACAGTTTAAATAGGGCTTAGAAGCTTTTATGCAACCAATAGAGCAGTTTAAGAATAAATATTAAATTGTACTTGCCTACCAGCAGCCTAATCATTGCATTCTTCCCTTGTTGCTCTGAGTCAGTCTCAAAAGCACCCCCGCGTATAGCACATTATAGAACTGTTACCCACAACAGCTTTTTGGTCCAGTAAGGTCTATAACTAGCACATCAACCAGAACTGAGCAAAGGTTCTAGCCTTCATTTGCTCTAACAAGAGCCATAAGACATCCCACACACTCCCACCAAGACATGGGCATTCTTTTCCAGTGGAAGCACAATTCTGTCCAGAGCCATTATGGGGACTAAATTAAAGCCAGCATGTTTCTGAACAAACTAACTCTAAAATGTAACTTGAATTTGGTTATCAAAAGCTGTTCGTAGTGGAGCTACTGGAACATATCTTCAAGAAGGATGCAAAAGCTCACATAGCTAAGATAACTCTTAAGATGATTAGCACTGATGCTGTTACCTAGTTAGAGTAATGAAATATCCGCAAGAAAACAAGCAAGCTCAGAGCACCAAGAACTCCTTGTATTAACCCCGAGTTAAAAATATTCTCCTTTATTAGCAATAGCACTTAGACTTATATACCATTTCATAGTGCTTTACAGCCCTCTCTAAGTGGTTTACAGAGTCAGCCTATTGCCCCCAACAATCTGAGTCCTCATTTTTACCGACCTCAGAAGAATGGAAGGCTGAGTCAACCTTGAGCCTGGTGAGATTAAATCTGTCAAACTGCTGGCAGCCAATGATCAGCAGAAGTAGCCTGCAGTACTGCACTCTATTAGTAAGAAAACTGTATTTTGTATCCCCCTTTTTCATGCCCTTCTGATAAACCAAGGCATGATAGCTTAATGCAAAGTCCCTGAGGCTGTTCTCTTGGCATGGTTCAAAGTTCTTTGCCCAAAATATTATTAGGAATCTTGGAACTGACAAACTGACTGATTTTGGCTTCTATGCTGCTCAACACCCACAAGCTATGAGCAGCTGGGAATTAGACTCTCCCAGATGCTCCCAGTTTGAAGGTGGGGTAAATTAAGGCCTAATTTGTAAATTCCTGGGTATTAGTTAAAATTCTTGAGTCTGCAGATGCTCATTTACTACACTTGACAAATCCTTTACAAGGTGTAACATTCAGTTTCATACTTGTTTGCAGTATGAAGCAGCACAAGCCATAATTTCACAGGTTTGATTTTTTTTTTCTGCATTGAACGGAAAGACTCTAACATGGACAAGGAAATTGTCTTTTTTTTTTTCACAGAAAGTGCTCCTATGACTTAAAATATATACATCCAATTTATAACATTGTATTATATAAACTGCCATTATATTATTGCCTTATATTATGGCAAAATGTAAATGTAATATTTTACAGATAGAAAAATATTTAAACAATCAGTAAAGGGAATATTTGTCAGACTGCCATAGAGTTAGTGTAATAGTTCTATTATTAAAAAATCATTGCAGCATTAGAACAGACTGTATATGACATAGTGTATAACTAAATTTTACATATGGGAAAACAGATTATTAAATACAGCCCTTCTGAATTATCACTCAATATGTACATGCTTTTCTATGTCAGCTCTTCAATAAGCATGAACTTTGCATTACAGAAGCAGCAGAGATTGCATCATAACTGCAGCCTAACTAGTTCACTCTTACATCCATTTCTTAACCAATAAAACTGGGAATGCTGCTGAATATTTATCACATCCCTTTTCTGTAACAAATATCACCTTTAAAATATTTTGGACTCTCCAGTGGCTCTTGCTGTTCTGATTTTCTGTCCTATTTTAAAAGCAAGGAGTGAGCTACAGTCTAAAAATAAATGGCCGTACACAATTTAAATTCATCCATATGTATAACCCACAGATTATATACTATAGCGTTCCATGGGCAAAAGTTTCAGTTCTGGAAAGCCAGGGAATATGGCTGAAGGAATGCATCTCTAGCAACTCATTTAAAAGACACCCCCAAATTCCTTTTACAAACAAAATAAAGGGCTCTGATTCATTGCAGAGATCTGCCCAGTAAGTTGGAGCTTACTTGCTGAGCCAACTAACAATTTTGTAAATTGCTACAATTTGTCTATCCTTTGACTCATCCAAGCTTTGTATTTGACATGCTATATCAGTTGACTCTTTAGAAAAGCTCCTTTTGTTTTTGTGCCTGGATATGAAGGATTCTAGGGGGTTTCCCTCAAGTGCAGCTATAAATACTAAGCAAACAATTAACTGCCTGGATTCAAATGGAGAAGCGTGTGTAAGGTGTTGATGAATTTCAACTGTATTTCCTTGCTATTATTTCTACCTTTGTTGCTTGGTAAACTGCAGCTCTGAACAAGTCTCTCATTATCATAATGACACAGCAAACTTTTAGATCCAGAATGAGTTAATCACAATCTGCGGAGGCTCGGCCAATTAACCTGAGCCACTGACGTCAGTTGGCTGCCGCAGAATCACCTCTACTCACTATGCCGGGAAACAAAAGTAGTTTTACCTGTTGAGTTACCTCAACTTAAAAGAAATGGATTCAAGCAGGTAGTGTCTGTGACAAAATAACATGTCTTTGTTTTTGGAAACGGCACTACACCATTTTTGAGAAGACTTCAGGGATAAAGTTGAAGGAGCAGATGACGGGAACTGATACCATTTGTCACTTCCCCTTGGAAAGCCAAGCATGTACAGGTAGTCGTCAACTTATAACAGTTCATTTAGTGACAGTTCAAAGTTGCAACAACACTGTAAAAAGTGACTTACAACTGTTTTTCACACTTATGTCCATTGCAGCATCCCCATGGTCGTGTAATCAAAATTCAGACACTTGGCAACTGACTCATATTTATGACAATTGCAGTGTCCTGGAGTCACGTGATCCCCTTTTGCAAACTTCTGACAAGCAAAATCAAGCTAGATTCACTTAACAACTGTGTTACTTATCTGCAGTGGCTTACTGTGGCAAGAAAGGTCGTAAAATGGAGCAAAACTCACTTAACAAATGTCTCACTTAGCAACAGCAATTTTGGGCTCAATTGTGGTTGTAAGTCGAGGACTACCTATAGAGTGAGCAAAGCAAGTTCTAAAGGTGGTGGAAACTTGGATCTCCTTTTCCTCCTTCACCAGGGTGGATGAATTTACATTTCAGAGCATGTATCCCACTGCTAATTAAAGAAGGCTTTCTTGGTAGATTACACTATTATTTAAATTCTTCAAGCATTGTATGAAGGGTGGGGGGAGGCTTAAAACACTCCTGTAGTCATATTTCATTTTGGAAAATATTAATATAAAAAGGAGAGCCCTGATTTTCCCTCTGTTGCTTTCTCTGCAATTCTTTCTTCAGAGACAAAACACCATAAAAGAAACAGGCTACTTCTGCTAAAGCTTTGGTACCTCAATCCAAAAAAGCTTCTTCTCAATTGTTACAGGAAACAAAGTCCACGACCAACTGATTTTTTTTTTTATTTAATGCAATGAATTTTCAGGGCCTTGGTTGCCATAACAGTTAATGCAGTCAACAACTCTCCAGCTCTCCTAATTATTAATTCCTGCATATTGGTATCACGTGAGAAAAGAAGCTTTGGGCAAATGGACAACTATGTTAGAGAACCACAGCTGCCACAAGCTGGGACACTGTCACTTCTGCCCTATCTTTCCATAAGTCTTACCTGCAGGGGGCAGTCAAAAAAATAAAGATGGCAGTCATGGAAATGCAGTTAAAGTGCCCCTCTTGAATGTGCATCAACACTGTATGCATGCATGGGGATGAACAAACCACATTTTATTTTAATCGAGGTCAGTTAAATCCCTATGGACTCATTCACACATCCTATTGACAGAGATGTGACCTTTCCCTTTCTTGCAACCCTGCAACAGCCAGGGACATTTCCTTGCTACAACAGATCCAGAATCTATTTATCACTTTTAGGAACCATTAATGTTAGTCAAATCTGCTTATGTTTTCAGTTTTCCTCTTGTCAGTCAAGTACACCCAAGAGGGCAAATTCATGTGTAGATACAGTTTTACACTGACACTTTTCTTTTTTGATAAGAGATTAAGAGAGCGTGCCTTGGACCCATATAGCTGTCACCCATATAGCTGTCACATCCTTGAGATTGATAGTAGCTTTTCTAATACAAGGTTCAATGCCTGTTACTGAAAGATTTCAGTTTCAGATAAGGCATGCTAACCTTCTGAGCAATCAGCAAAATTCTTTGTGGTCTTTTTCATAGATTTCATTATGTACTAAAAATTGTCAACAATTTTTTAACCTCATTTACAATGAAATATTGCCACTGATGTTTTATCAGGAAAGTACTCTGATGTGTACACTATACTATCAGCAGATTAGCTCCTAATTCATTTACCAGCAATATAATGAACAATTTTGGACCAGAGCCATTTTTACTGCAGCAGTGATGTCCTTGTCTCCTGGCTTCAGAGAAGTTACATGTGTTTTCCAAGCATTGAATAATCAGTTGATAATATGTCTCACCCTAATGCTGAAGATCTTGTTTCTTGAGCAAAGGGTGTAATTCTTACATATTTCCTATATCTGTTTTTTGTTCGCCAATGGCAAAGATTGGTCTGAGATAACATGCACCAACTTACCTGGAACAAGGTGTTTGGTCCTTGCAGTCTGGCAGGACTCAAGGGAGCAATAGGACTGAGGCTGCTCCAAAAGTGAATGCTAGAAAGCAGGGGACTCGGGGTCAACAGTAACCCATTTGGAGTCTACAAGACAAAACACACTAGCTTAGTCGTCTGTCAATAAATATGGCCATAAGGAGGCTAGTATGCCATTAACTTTCTCACTTTTATCATAGCTTGTTCAGTATTGCTTACATCCTATTTTCTAATACACATTTTGAATGGGGTATGTAGAGTCATATTCTAATATATTGTTTTCTTCATATCCCTGCATCAGTTCTAATGGAACACTTTCTAGTTGTTTCCCTGGAACATGATCAATGAAAGCATAGCTGGATTCAAAACAGCAGTCTTTCAATCATAAAACAGCTATTTTAGACCCCACACTAGATTGTTGCAGCCATCCAAACTTAACTACTATTTATTCTATAATATATCTTGAAAACAGCTACCCATTGTTCCCCTTTAGTTCCCTATGCCAGAGTATATTAATAATCTTGAAAATATGCATTGGGTTGTGTTCATAATGTTTTTAAATAAATCCCCAACTTGTTTACTCTCGTCTACATGTTTGATTTTATACATGTTCACACAATGCCACAAGTTGGTGAATGCACAAGTGTACTGGTTTTACCTCATTCCTCCATAGAGGAGTTTTACCTCACTCCTCCACTTTTTAATTGGTGTTCAGACATATGTTATGTAAACTCAAAAGTGACTTCCAACCTGAATCATCTTCACTGGAAGATTATATTTGAGGTTTGCAGTAAGTTAGAGAATCCAGAGAAGAAATTCAAGATGATGACTATTTGAATGTAAACAAATAGCCAGGGCTTCTGAGTTATTTTTGTTTCCATTATTGTTGAAACCTGACAGGTGAAAGTTGGAATGTAATCGAGCAAATACCTACATCCATTAGTTCAGAGTTTGAACCTCAAACTCCTATCCAAAATATACCCTATTAAGTTCAATATGGCTCATGTCACACAATTGGACAGAGGTTGGAGCTTCAGTCCCACGCAGCTTGTGTGGATCTTCTGCTCATTAACTGCTATTTTCAACAGAATGACTCACAAAAAAAGCTGAGATTTCTCTTGCAAACAGCCCACAGCTTTGAAAGCAACTGTCAGGTCATTTATTTTTACAAGAACTGCAAACTCTCAGGCTTTTGTACCAAAAATAACCATGTTCCTTTTTTTTAGGAATTGATCATTGCTCAGTGTTAAACTCTTCTACTGCAGCTTTTAGCATTGTTAGAACTTAGTTCTCAAGTGGCTAATCAACAAAATGTCTAATTCCCTATGTTGTACATAGCACTTGAAGAGACTTTAAGCCAAACAAAGACCAATACTGAATATCAGAACTCCAGTCTAATCAATAAGTGGGTTAATCCTGAAAGAGGGATTGCTACAGTATTCTTTGAACTTTTCACATTTTCCATGAGAAGTCAGTTTTTGTATTAATACTTGGTAAAGTTAGAAACCTATATAAAATTAACAGCCATTTCAAGGGATAGTTCTCAAGATTTCAAAAAATATAAAGTGGTTCTCAGAACAAGATTTGCTCCCTGTGTGGTTGAAGCAATCACATCAATAGAAGTAGCAGGAAGTGCAGAAAGACTACCAAATTGAGATTCACCAAGCTTTGTTGGGAATTATAAAGCTGGATGGGATCTGTAGCCATTCAGATGGCTTCAGAATCCTTCATACGGAATGAGTTACCTAACCTTGATGCTTATGGAATACTATCCTTAACTACAGTTAGAATTTGAATTGACTCATATAATTACACATGAGTTTTTAATCCAGTACGTAAACAGTGAAAGTTGTAAACTTGTATTTCTATACATTTTGAGGTTCTGGAAAAATAAAAATGACAAATAGCACTGGAGGTATTGTAAAGACTGCTTGTCTTGAGACTTGTCCTGATATTTTTGATAAGCTGATTATATTGAAAACTGATGTGTCTGGAGATGCTTACATTTTTAATAATCTTTTCTTGACTTTTGCAATGATCCTTCAGTTTTCTACATGCCTTTGATATCAATGTCTTTCTTTCTTTGCAGAATTATAAGCCCTAAATTATATTTGGTATGATGCAGAACCTCTGAAATGACTTTACATCAGTTTTGTATGGAGTGTTCTGAAACTGCCCTCATGCGGTATGCTTGCTTACTAATATTTATCCAGGCAGAACTGATCAAAAATAGAATGTTTGCGCTGCTTTCTTTCTTCTGTTCTGAAGTTATGTTGGTTAAATATACCTTAACAGAAGGGGAGAAAGAAAATAGCGCTTGCATCCTATTTTTGATCATTTCTGTGTGGATAAATATCAGTCAGCAAGTGCAATATGCTTAAAGATTGTCAAATAACTCTTACTATGTCAGAAAATAACAAATGAAACAAGAGTCCGGTGTGTGGGACCATAAAGTCAGCATTGAGTTCTGGTGACTGCTTGGGCAAGTCCCTGCAGTTTTCTTGTCAAGATTTCAAAAGATGTTTGCCATTGCCTCTTTCCAAGGGCTGACAGAAAGTGTCTAGCCAAGGTCACTCAGCTGGGCTTTATGCTTAAGGCAGAACTGGAACTCATGATCTCTTTCTAGCATGGTGGCTTAATCACTACACCAAACCGGTTCTCTATAGTCAGATGTAGATATAGATAGAAATGTGTGATAATATCTCTGTGTGCATGCTCATGCTGCAAATTGGTCATGTTCCAGTGGATATTATTCATTCTTTCATTCATTCACTTCCTCTTATTCACTGGAAATAACTATGGGGCAGGGCCCACATTACCACCTAGAGTTTGAAAAAGAAGCATCTAAGGGAAAAGCCGGATGACTGCAATACAGCGCTCTCTTCCAGTCTTTGTACTGTTACAAAAAGATGCTGTCCTCATATACCCAAGCCCTATTCTACTGAAATAAGAAGGCCGGTAACTTGGGCTATCTTTACAATTTTAATATTAGACAAGTTAATAAAAGTGACTGCAGAATTATGAATGCCCCCCCCCTTTATTTTCCTTCTCATGTTACCTACTGGCAGGTAACATGTGTTACCTGCCAGTAGGATAACAGTTACCAGCCACTCTCCCTGGTGTGGGGTGGGGTCAGACAAGTGTAGAAAAGGGATTGGAACAATTTGCTTAACCACCCATCAATTTGAACAAACCAACTGAATGCACAGAAGAGTTCCACAAGTGTCACCTGTATTTAACATTCCAAAAGGATTACACATCAGTAGAAAATAATCTGTCTGATAGGGATACATGGTGGGAGATTGTCATGAATGAGATCTATCCTCAATTGAAAGGGAATGGAAGTGCCAGTGGCAAATGGCCACATCAAGAAGCCCACGGAGGACACAAGGTATGCATTCCTCCCTCAGAAACCAAAACAAACAAAACAAAAAATAGAACAAGTAAGTAGTGCTATCATGCAAATCAGCAGAAGCAGTGGAAAAAACTTCAGTGCACTCTTTAGTAACAATGCACAGTCCATTTCTTTAAGCATGAGGATAATGCTCATTCCAAAGAGTGCTAAACTAAGGTATATAAGGAGCAGCATTACATGTTGGAAAAAAGTTCAAGGCAGGCATAATGGTAGCAAGCTCCAGTCTCTTTTGCAGCCCATATCAAAATGGACGTAGCTGGCAATTGGAGGAAAGGAAGTACAGTATGCCTTCAGTAGCCTAAAGTGGTCAGTCGTAGCTGGTCAGATCCCAGCCTCTAATTACACTATCAATGAAGCATACTAAAATGTATCAATGGCAAAAAGTGAGTTGGATGAAGAGGGAGAGCGCTACTTTAAAACTGAAACATGATTTTCCGGTAAGTGATTTCAGGTACAACCTGAGAATAAGGCAAAGGCAACATAAGACAAGTCATATCAACAGTTACTGGTGCATATATGTATCATGTTAAGGGATGCAAGGATAACACCTGGCTTAAGTACAGCAGCTGGGGGAAAGATTTTTTTAAAGCTTCATAGATCTTGCTACGTTAAAAGTAAGCAGATGTTATTATGGCTAATTTTGTGTGAATCAAACCTTGTTTATTTCTGCTTCTAATACATCCATTCTATCTCTTTTTCTGATGATATATAGCATTTCTCTGCATCTTTGTGCTTTTCCTATCCTCTCATTCCCTTGACTGCAATTAGCAAATAATACATTATTGGAGAAGCAGAGAAAGAACAATCCACCTTAATTCAAAACAGCACTGTTCCCTGCCATGGCCTATTTATTCACGGTTTTGATAAATGCAATTCAGAATGGTTTTTTAATTAAGGGGGCTAATTGAGGAAACCATTGAGGCTCACAGCCACTAAAATGGAATAGAACATTATTTTATATCTCTTCATCTTTTTTAATCAAAATTTTTGCCAGGGCTTTAGAACAATGAAAAGAATGAATTCTACCATGTGCCTTTATGTAAACTCACTGAGAGCTTCATCAGTACCACTGTCAACCATATTGTTTATAAGAGTTAAATCTACATCCTAAATCACATCTTCAAGTCAATAACTACTATGTTACAGAATTATCCGTCCCATGCACACATATCTACCTACTTTCTACTTGTGTACTGATATTTTACATTTACCCTCAGTGTAGCCTGGGCCTTAATCTTTCTTTAAAAATCAAGAATGTTTCTCTCTGAATATTGCATAATTAAATTTCTATGACTGGCACTATATGTTGTGCTAAATTCCACGAAGTATAATTGAGCACATATGCATAAGAACAGACTGGAAATATCTTGTCAAGATTGCAGCGTTTGTTTAAAACGCCAGGGTTAGCTCTGCTACTGGATGGACAAGGACAACATAAAGCTTTTGTAAAAGGACAATATAGGAAGAGAAGGCTTGCAATTGCCCATCACTATCCTCTTTCTGGAAACAAAGGGAAATCCAATGCTTAGTTTGCAGAACACATATTTTTTATTGCCAGGGCAGTTCCCAGTCAGAGGAGCAAAAACAGGAGCAGAGCAAAGTAAAGCTCATTTGAACCTCAGTACAAAAGGGAGAAGCAGTTCGTTACCCTTCTGGAGTCAGCTTTTCTTGTTTTCTGAACATCCTCAAGCCATTTTCTGATTAAATAAAACAATCTGACCCAAACATGTCAATTGGTATTTTGCTTGCCTGAGGCCTACCTAGTGCCAGCAGAATACAAAGGGCTATTAAGAATTCCAGTTGCCAACTGGTCAGAGAAAAAACAAAACTTGTTCTTAAACATTCACTGTAGACAAATCTTGCTATGCAGATACACATTTCCAGGTCCTGACACGGAATGGTTAATTTTGACTTCTCTGTGGTAGGGCCCACATTACAACTTTCCCTGGACTTGAAGCAAGCCCTGATCTTAGAGGACGTTAAAAATATACTTATTCATTCGGTCCGTTACAAGTTTTTTTAAGCATTATATTTCTTGACTTAATAATGTCTTACTGTCTTTACATATTATCTAGAGATGTTAAAGAGAGAGAACATACAGATTTTTAAATAAACCCCATTTCCCCCAAAATAAGACATCCCCTGATAATAAGACCAATTGGGCTTTTGAGCGCATGGCAATAAGACCAAGCACTTATTTCAGGATTGAAAAAAATATAAGACAGGATCTTATTTTCGGGAAAACATGGAAGGTATTTCTCTCTGGTGATAGTGATTCCTTCTGGACATGTTAGGCTATATCAGCTTGCAAATGGAATATCACCTATTGGTTCTTTTGTCCTTGATGACTACTTTATACCAAGAATTCTGCAAAGTGAAATCCCATCGCATCTGGAGGTTTCCAATTTGAGAAATATTGTTCTATTCTTCAAAACACGTTACCATTACAGAGTGTCATACATCCAACTAAGCCATTAACAACCACTTTTGTCACGCTCATGAAAATCCATGGGCTGGGCTGTTTTCATGAAGAGCAGAAAGATGCTGAGCTCATACAAAGTGTGAAGAAAGAAATAATTTTTAAATATGCAACCCCAATAAGAAACTTTACCAGATTTCTTATAATCCAAAATGTTCATTTTATAATAACTGTCTCCTCAAAGAAAACTGCACATCTCCAGACAATGCAGAATCTTTAGACCAGGGGTGCCAAACTTGCGTCGTCGTGGCGGCATCACATGATGTATCGTGACTTTTTTTCCCCTTTGCTAAACCGGGCAGGGCGTGACCAGTGCGTGACGCATCCGGCCCATGGGCCATGAGTTTGACACCCCTGCTCTATACATTCCTATCTGAACTCCTGCAGAACACAATTCTTACTTTTGGCCATGCTGCCTGGGCACTATGGTTGAACATATTTGGAATTGCCAAACTGGGGAAGTGAATTTATTCTGTTTGGCTGGGGAACAGAATATTGCCAAAACACTGCCACAACAACATGGTTGTAACAGTGCTTCTCTTTTGAACATTCTCCCCCCCCAAAAAATTCCTCTAGTACCTATACTTACAAATATGTATTTGCTGCTGCTCTGACTTTTTATATCATTTTCTAATGCTTTTATTTATAATAACTATAGATAATTGTTATTGTTAAGCACAAGTACAGGGAATTTTCATCTTCTGACCAGGAATAGGTTGCATGGATTTATATAATATCTGCCAGCTTATTTCCTAAGTCACCTGTTTTCTCCAGGTAAGAAAAATCACTTATCTACAGCTGGGATAGACTTAATTCTGCCCTTCACAAAATCCTGGAATTCATCTCCCTTGCTAAATTGATTTTCCTCCCATTGGCACTGATTGTTAACACTTCTAACAGGAAGTAACTTAAATAATAAATTGCATAGTCGATGTCCATTGTTTTTTTTACTGTTAAGTGATCGGTTGGTCTGTCTGTCTGACTGTCTAACTAACTAACTAACTAACTAACTAACTAACTAACTAACTAACTAACTAACTATTATTTGTGATGGTATATTTCTCTAAATTCTGCCCAAATAAGCCTTGAAATTGCTTTACAATAACCATGAAGCATGTCTTGTGTCAATAAAATTTTTAGAATTACAGCTAGGAATTCAAAGACATCCGTCTTACCTGTGCGGTGAAGAAAGCAGGGGTCAAGGATCCTGAGGGAAGCGCAGGGCTATTGAGGGCAATAGAGCCGAGGTCAGTACTTGAAAGAACCATTGGAGGTGCGGAGATCTCTAAGCCTTTGGGTTTTTTAGCCTTTGGAGGAAGAGAAGGAGATTTTACTTTGGATCCTGAAGAAAGATTCAATGGCTCAAGAGAATCTGAATCCTGGCAAGTAGACTCCAGATAGATGTTTCTGTGTTCTGAGGGAAGGGGTGAGTTAGGTGACAGAGATGGTGATCGAGAGGAAGCTGATGAAGCTGAGGATATGCTCGTTGTGTTGGGCAACATTAAGGATGATATTTTTGCAGAGACAGAGGATGCTAAAAATGTAGAGGCATTTGCTGCTTCAGATGTGGATGGCAATGACACAACAGGCCTCATGACTTGTTTGTCTGTTTTGTTTGTCACAAATCTAATAACAGTCCGGACTTCTTCCAGAGGTGTGGTTTCTTCCAATTTCTCCTCCAGCTTTTCTGTTTTAATTTGCTTGAGAGTTTCTGGCTGATTTTGTAAGGAATTGATGGTGAAAGATGAGTACAGCCCTGAATGAATGTATTCGTTGCGGCTTGTGCCTTTCAAGACTGGGAGACCATGCTTATGCTGTTCTCTGCTCTCCAGAGGCATCTTGCAGTCGCTGTCCTGCAGCAAAAGGCTTTCTCTGCTGATTTCCACAGCATGAGGATCCATCTTTAAGATTTCCGGGAAAGAAACAAACTTGTACACAAACTTTTGACCAATCACCTTCTTGATAATGTTCTGCAGAAAATATCAAAGCAGGTATGAAAATATATGTAAGTGACTTGACAAAATAGCTCAAAGAAGTACAAGTGACTGACTAAAGAAAAGGCCCCAAGTTCAATCCTGGCACCTCTGGATAAAAATATTGGGAGAATGACATTGTCACAGACTTCAAGAAGTTGTTGTTAATTCAATCACCAGCACTGGGCTTTAGGGCCAAAATGGTTTAATACAATATAGGATAAATTTTGTTAACAACAGCTCTTCACAGAAAATTCAGGATTCTGTATTTTCTTGTCGCTCTCCCTTTCTTCTGTACTTTCCCCTTTCTTTTCTAACCTTCCAAAACATAATTTTTAATATACTCAAAACACTGTTCTTTCTTTTTAAGCTACATGCAACATTGTCTTTTCTTACTATCCAGGACTATTGTACTTTTTTTAATGTAGTCATTTTATATTCCATCCTTATCAATATGCCTAACAGCGATATATTGGATGGGCACCATTCTAATTACCCCTAAAATGCTCTTAAAAGAAACAGAAGACATTATAGGATTTAAAACCATATACTAATCAAGTTGTTGGAAACTAATCAAGGAGAGAAGCAACTTAGAACTAAGGAGAAATTTCATGACAGTTAGAACAATTAATAAGTGGAACTTGCCGGCAGAAGTTGTGAATGCTCCAACACTGGAAATTTTTAAGAAGATGTTGGATAACCATTTGTCTGGTTATCCAAGTCATATAGGGTTTCCTGCCTGGGCAGGGGGTTGGATTAGAAGACCTCCAAGGTCCCTTCCAGCTCTGTTATTCTATTCTATTCTATTCTACTACAGGTAGTCCTCAACTTATGACTGCAATTGAGCCCTAAATTTCTGTTGATAAGCTTCCCCATTGACTTTGCTTGTCAGAATGCTGCAGGTGCTACATGACCTCAGGACATTGCAACTTATCATAAACATGAGCCAGTTGACAAGTATCTGTATTTTTATCATGTGTCCATGGGGATGCTATAATGGTCAAAGTGTAAAAAAACTGTCGTAGGTCACTATTTTCAGTGCCGCTGTAACTCTAAAGTCACTAAACGAACTGTTGTAAGTGGAGGACTACCTGTATAATTCTAATTTTTGTACTGGAGTCTTTTACTACTATACCACCATATCATAAAAGGGCTGTGAAACTCTTTGAAAGGAGTGCTTCAGAAAGCATAGAAGGGCATACAAAGTGCCCCTTTTCAAATTCTTAAGCAGCTGCCACTTTTTCATGTTCACACAGCTGCTTCCCAAGTGCTCCTGGCTGTCTCTGCATTCAGGCCTTAGACAGAGCCAAGTGGCCTTGCTTGCAGATTGTGCAGAGCCAGCTGGGAATTGCTTCCAAAGCAGCCGTGTAAGCTTTCTTATAACACCGTGTTATTATCTAGTGCTATTCCAACATTGAAATTAATATTTTATTTTACAATTTAAAAAAATGTAAAGTCGTGTAAATTACATTAGAAGAAGATTTTTTTTGTTTTGTTCTTCTGCAAAAAAATAAATAATGTTACCATTTTCAGGATAAACACCAAAATATGCAGCAAAGAATTAGAAAATTTTTTTTAAAAAAAGAAAGAAAATTTAAAAATTTCCGCAAGTGCATTGAAAGGAAAACATCCTTGTCTCTGGGTCGGAGAAACCAGGTACAACGTATATATAAGACTACTTTTGTTTATCTAAAATTAAAAAATACCTTGTCATAATAGTATCTCAGAGCTCTGCTCAGTTTATCATAATTCATGTTAGTTTTGTTTTTTCTGAGTCCCCACAGCTTCGCCACCTCTTCTGCCTTAAGTAACTTAAATTCACCATCATTGGATGTCCAACAAATCAGGTGTTCATGTTTCTGGTCAAGAAGCAACTGCAACAGGAATTGCCACAGTGTGATTGCACTCTCCATGCCTACAATAAAGCAAAATAAAAGGAGGAGAATAAAGAGAATATGAATATTGCTGCACTCAGAAATGGGCAAGTGGCTTGAAAGTCAGCCTACAATTTATAGGACCTATTTTTGAGAAGTCCTTCATCTTCTTATCTTGATTGACACTGGAAAGAAAAATCATAGTAAGCTATAAAAAAAACACTAGCATGCTTTCCCACTAATTCCACTGTAAAATGCATACAATGATTTAATGTAATTCAATTTTCTCTGTTTTAAAAAAGAAAATGAGGAAACAGAGATTAAAAACCATGTCAGTTCTCATCCACTATTAGTATTATCACATCACAACTATCACTAGCCAGCAGATTTTTTTACTAAAGGGGGATAATTCTAAAAAGTGTAACCCAGTTACAAAAGAGATATACATCTGCCTTAAACTCAAATTAGTTTCAAATATAACACATAAGTAGGATTCTATATGTAAGTATGTATATACAAGTAGCTCTCGACTTACAACTATAATTAGAACCATAAATTCATCATAAATTGTTATGGTTGTAAATCAAGGCACCCATGTGACCAGAAGTAATTTTCTGATCTTTTTTGCAGTGGTTGTAAGCAAACCACTGTCATGGTTGTTAAGCCAATACAGCAGTCATTAAGTGAATCCAAAAAAACATCACAAATCACAGTCACATGACTGTAGAATGCCACAACTGGTCATGAAGCTGACCTGCCCGACATGGGCAGGTGTGGTTTGCTTGCTAATAATCCCAATAACTATTTCCAACACTGCATTCATCTATGTTTCATTTAACCAAGATCAAATATTCTGCAAATGACACTAGAAAACTATGTTTTACAATCTGGGAAACATGAGTTCACATAAAATAGTACACAATATACAATAAACTTAAAGTTGCTTATTACCACATATGAACTAGAGCCATTGTTCTAAGCTTTAATTGATAAATTAAAGTGTTACAGTGGACTGTTATTCTTGGCAATCACCATAGATCAAGGCGCCTTCAGAAAGATAACAATACCACATTGTTTCAGAATATGCCACTCTTGTATCTCTTAGTATCTTCCTATAGAAAAATGAAGTTGAAATTAGTAAGAAAGTATGGGCGGAACAGCAAATGAAATTACCCATCTTGTTATAGTTTGTTTATGATGGATTGTGTGACTGAGCAAAAACATTTCCACTAAAACTTAAATATGTCCAACAGCTTCCCTGAGGAGACTGACCTGAACCCTTAATACCTTTTAGCATGCTGAAACCATTTTTATTTCAATGAACATTGTCTCCTTTGATTTTTTTAGCTGTTGTAATTAGTTGCAGTATCTGACTTTATATTTTATTCTTTGTAGTAGTTCCATTGTTGTTGTTAGTCGCGAACTTGTGTCCAACCAATTGTGACCCCATGGACAATGTTCCTCTAGGCCTTCCTGTCTTCTACAAACCCCTGTAGTCCATTTAAGATCGGGCCTACTGCTTCAGTGACTCCATCCAGCCGCCTCATTCTCTGTCATCCCGTTCTTCTTTTGCCCTCAATTGTTCCCAGCATTAGGCTGTTCTCCAGTGAGCCTTTTGGTACTGTTAATGGGGTTTTCATGGTGAAGATACTGGAGTGGGTTGCCATTTCCTTCTCCAGTGGATCGCGTTTTGTCAGAGCTCTCTGCTATGACCTCTCCGTCTTGGGTGGCCCTGCATGGCATAGCTCATAGCTTCATTGAGCTATGCAAGCCCCTTCGCCACGACAAGGCAGTGATCCATGAAGAGGAGTTCCATTGAGAACCCCTCAAGTATACTTCAGTGTACATAGAAAAAATAAAAGTTATTTAAGAAAATATGTATTCGTGCAAAAGTAAAAACCTTGAAACTTGTTTTCATTTAGTCCAGAATAATTTCCAATTTAAATAAACTTTCATCAGTAACGTATTAAAAATTCATTATGTATAAAAAAATAATCCAAAGGAGGCATATTAACTCTTGCAATTTTTAAAATTATTTATTATTTTGTTTTGGGGACAAAAAGTAAAAGTATGGAAAATAACACTGACCAAAAAAAATTGAATGCAACAGCAAAGCCTTAATGAATCCCTAGTTAATAATTACTTTATTCATATTTAGTTAGCATTTTTAGTTAGATAGACAAAGTAATACATAAATGTCTTTTCCCACAGAAATATTGAATAGATTTTTAAAATATTTTATGTCATTTTAAAATTACAAATGTCATATAATTATGTGCATTTAACTTTATATTTTGGTGCTTTATTTTTTCTGCTTTCTTATTAGTGATTTTTTTTTAAACTATACATTTTTTAAAATTATCCTTATCATGTTTTTGAATATGTTTAAACTCAGAGTCAGGCTTCGTTAGGGTTTGGATCTAAAGTACTCTTGCTGAATATTTGGATCTACTAGGAAATCTCAGAATTATAGACTCACCTGGCAAAGTTAAAAAATACTCTTGGCAAACTTGTTTTCTCTTGGTGCCAAGGTGACTGCACAGACTTGTCCATGATGTCACCCAGAATCCAACTCATCGCCTGAGCTTTTAAACAAACCAATAAAGAATATTTGTAGCTCAGGATTGAAATGAGGGGTTCTTGGTGCTCTCTGAGCTTGCTTGTTTTCTTGCAGATGTTTCATTACCCAATTAGGTAACATTGTCAGTGCTACCAGCTACTAGTCCTTACTAGCACTGATGCTGTTACCTAGTTAGGCTAATTGTAAGCCGCCCTGAGTCTCCAGAAAAGGGCAGAATATAAATCGAACCAATAAATTAAAAAATAAATAAATAAATAATGAAACGTCTGCAAGAAAACAAGCAAGCTCAGAGAGCACCAAGGACCCCGCTTTTAAACAAAGTTCATTGAACATGTCTGCCACTAGATGGCACACGATTTCTGTCTCTCTATACTACCCATTCTTTTGTACTTCTTAGGCAGTAAAAATGTCACATTTCTTCTGCAAGATCTTAGATAAACTACACAAAGAACCACTTCATATGATTTACGAATGTATCAGGCCCAGCACAGACAGAATTTTAAATTGCTAGTGTATATATATTACATGTATGTATATATGTGTGCCTGTCTGCATGTGTCTGTGTGTATAACACAAAACCATATTTATGGCAAATAACCAAGCAATCAAAAATGTTTTATTAACTTCCCAAGGCAACTTACTGAGGAAAATACTGAACGTACAAGAATATCAATTCCCACTTTCAGCATTTTTATAGGCAAGTTGTTCAAAAAACATATCTCTGGTTTTTTTTACTGCCCCATAAACTTAAATTCTCCTACAGGGGGCAAGAAATACCAATGGGGGATCAGAGGCAGGAATTTGTTTCATTTATTGCCATCCATATAATGCAAAACAATAGAGGTTAAGTAGGGGTTTTAAAGGTGTTCTAATTTCTCATAATACTTTAGCAAGTCAAGGTAAATTCTAACAGAGATTAGGGGTAAACCCACTTCTGTACTAAGATAAAAGAAGCAGGAATACCCTGAGGGAAGCCAAAATCTTCCTTTATATAAACTGCAGTGTAGCAGAAGCTATTCTGGACCCATTATGAGAAGCCTAGCTTTCTGGAGAAGTCTATATTGCTGGGAAAGAAAACACAAAAAGAGGATGACTAGCAGCAAGTGAATGGCCTCAACTATAACAGCGTTACGTGCCCTTAGGCATACAGTCATGGCCACATGACCGAGGGAGTGTCTTCGGACAATGCTGGCTCCCTCAGCTATGAAACAGAGATGAGCACTGGCCCCTAGAGTCAGACACAACTGGAAAAGGGAAAACCTTTACCTTTATGGCAGCAGTGTGTGCCATAGAAGGATTTGAAAAAACAGGTTATGAACAGATTTTCCTGGAGAAAATCTATCCACCTGGACACTAAGAGTTGACATCATCTGGATGGCACATAACAGTACATTCAATACATTACACTAGTACATTCAGTACAAGCGATAGATTTGTGCATTCACATGTTCATTTCCATTTTTAAACGAAAAGGTAATACCAAAAGGTTTTGGGTTTTGCAGTCTTAGCACTATACCCGTGATGATGAACCTATGCCATGCATGCCAGAAATGGCACGCAGAACCCTCTCTGCTGGCACGCATGCTGTTGCCCCAAGTCAGATCTTCGTGGCGTTTCTTTCGTGAGCTTCTGTTTCCCTGCAAATGAGGAAACAGGAAACAGGAGCTCGTGAAAGAAAAAGAACTTAGCTCTTGCCGCGCTGCCGGTGTTGGGATGCTCTGCCTCCTGCCAGCCAGCTGGTCATCAGGTCTCTGCTGTGCATGCGTGCATGTCCATGCATGCATGTGCACATGTCCGCGCATGCTCATGCGCATGCTCACACATGTCTGAGTGTGGGAACATGTCCGCGCACACACACACCTTTCCGTTTGGGCATGCACACGTGCAGTTCGGTGTCTAAAAGGTTCGCCATCACTATACTTTTCTTCATTTAGACCAGGGTTTCTCAAAACTGTGGATCATTTACTCTTGGAGGGTCATCAGCAACTTGAGGGGAGATTATATATTTTTTTTAAAAAACTGCTCAAGCTTGCATTAGCAGTCTTGAGTACTAGTAAAATTCACTCCAGACACTGCTGTTCACTTTGCTGTTTTTGAGAACCAAATTATATATAAATTAAAATCTAAGTATTAAAAGTATGATATACAAATTAAAATGCAACTATTAAAAGTAAAAAGCATATTTATTTTTGGCCAAACCTAATCTAATTCCAATGAAATAATTAGTGTTCAGAATAGGAATTCAAACCAGGAAAATTATAGTAAAATAATTTGTAATTCTTGCTATTTTGCACTCTGCAAAACATTAGTTATTTATCAAATTGAGAGATCATATTAACCCCTCCCCCCCAGAAAAAACCCTCTTTTAACCAAATCCCTTTTACCTTGAATTGATTCATTAGTATTTACTTATCAAGTAGCAGGATAATTAAACACAACGTAATAATCTCCATTTTGCATGTAACCTGTTCTAAAAGCCAGATTAAATATGGTCATATCATTAAAGAGCATTAGCCAACACAATTTGTCCCTCCAGACGCTTCCCAATTTTCTCAGGTGATTTAAAGATTATCGCTTCATAGAATGCGAGGGTATGAAGGGATATTTGGAACTAGTCCAAATCTTCACCTAATGAAGATTCCACTACTATAGCATTCCTGACATATGGTCATCAGTCTTGGTTTAAGTACTTAAGTAAGGTAAGTCTGCTACTTCTCTAAACAGGCTAGATAGTTCCATTGTTAAACAGTTTTTAGGAATTCCTTCCAACACCCAACTGAAAACGTATCCCTGTAATATAAAATCTCTGTTCCTTTTCTTCTCTTCTGATTATACTCTGATCAAGTCTAGTATAATATTCTACATAACGTATCCTTTGAGACACTTTGAGACAGCTATTACATCTCTCTACAGTCTTCTCTTTGTGTCCAGGCCAAACATACCCAAGGCCCCAAGCAATTCCTCCTAAATTTTTCTTTCCTGACCTATTATCATCTTTGTTGCAGTCATCCAGACATGCTCCAACTTTGTAAATGTCTTTTGTAAAATGGACACAAAATGCTTAAGAGCAATGAATATTGACCCCGACATTGTACTTCTGTTGATGCAACTGCTTTGAGCTGCTGGGAGTCAGGTGGTACATGAATAAAACAAACAAACAAATACTGCATGTATAAAGTTTGCAGCTGAATGACACTCATGTTCAGCTCAACTAAACTACCACGATTCTTTTCAAATGTATAGATGTCCAGTATGGTCTCCCCATCCTATTTTCATGTTTCTAACCTACCTAAATTAAGGACATTTTCTTTGTTCCACTGGAAATTCATCTTGCTGGTTTCTGCTATTTGCTATTCCTGTTATATATATGCATTTGCAGATATGCACATTATGCTTTTAACCCTTCATCCATGTGATTTATTAAAAGTATTGAAGTTCAGATCCTAAAATTATGCTCCTCTGAACTGAGCTTAGAATTATGTCCATATAGCATGCTATCCCATCTTGACACTGAGCCATTGACTTACACATTGATTACACACGTTTTGCTAATTCTTTGTTAATTTAATAGTAATATGGTCTGGTCCACATTTTGCAGTGGGTCTTACTAAGCAATGCATTTTTCCAATTATTCACAAGCTGACTGCTTAATAACTTCTTCTAAGGTTTTGCCCAGTATCAGCATCCAGCTGATCACTCTGTAGCCACCTGAGTTCTCTTATATTCATTGTTTATTTATTTGCAAATTCTATTTCTATAGGACCCCATTGATATTTAAAGCCTGGCAACTTATATGGATTGAAAAATAACAATATAAGCAAGTCAAAAAAGGCACAACATGCCAGGGACTCATAACAATTCATAATAAACTATTCTAACTCAGTCATGGGCCCTCATAATGTCCTAGACCAATGTCTTTGATAGAAAGAACATTTGCCTGTCTCCGATCGGTCAGCACTATGCTCATCTTCTATGATTGCCCATAGATCACTGGAGGGGCCCCAAGAATACATTCATAAGCTTCTTTATGGCTCGTAGGGGTAAATGATCTGATCCTCCAGTTTTAAATTCATTCATGATAGCTGAATATTTCCTATATTTTTATTTATCTTGAGTTGCCACTCTACCTTTGCATCAAATGTTTTATTTATTTAGGTCTATTTGAACAAGTTCCCTTTTGGGGAGAAGACCAAAGCAAAGAGATGAGGAGTTCTGCTCTCATCTCATCACTTTCTCTTCCATTCATACGGATACAAGCAAAAAACATGCAATTTTTTATTGTTTTTAAAGTCTTCCTGACACTAATGTTAAATCTTCATTTATTACCAAAAATAAATGATGTCCAGCAAAAAAATTTTTCCCTGAGCTGGGTGACGTAGGGCATTGTTAGTTTCCCATTCTCATTAACACTCACAGCTTCCGCTATTTCTGTAGGCTGCAGGCAGGAAATGAGAAACAAGACCAGAGGAAACCTGGCCCTCTACATCTGTCCTTGTTTGCAATCTCAGCTCTAGTTTATTTTGCTAAAAATCATCTCTTAACCCCCGACATGCCAGTTCAATCCCTTATCATATACTTAATCTTACACTGTTACTCTGCACTTTTCTCTGTAACCCTGTATACCTTGATCATGCTACATAAAGTAGCCATAATTAATGATGAAATGAGTTCCTCAAACTTGATGTCTAAGAAATTCCTGCCCCAATGATGAGATTATACACAAGGGTTTTCCCACATTATCTAAGCTATGTTTCAATTTAAACCAAGTTTGTGAATAGGCTATGTTGTCAGCATTCATGTATAAAGCTAAGTTATAAATTTAAACCATGAATCATAAGTTTGTATCACAAATATATAGTTTTATGTTAATTGCTAGGTTGACCCAATATGTTAAGTTAAAAAAGAAACCAAATAAAAATACACATTGTGGTTTAGCCCAATGTCTCACTCACAGTTGCCTAGGTCTTCTATACTTGGTAATGTAGCATTACAAGTTCTCCTTCTTAAATTGGTGTTGTAGATTATTATTTATATTCAATTATTTGGTGAGAATAAATGACCTTCAATCTACTTATTTCAGGAATGGACATACAGGAACAGCAGACGATGAAAACTTACCAGATGAAACAAAGAAGATGCTTCAACAGAAACAATTTTCCATAAGGAAGATAAACAAAGGAACAAACCCAGTGGATGAGAATCACTACCAAAAACAAGTGTCATAGAAGATATGCTGCATAGCTTTGAGGCCCTCACAGAATAAATAACCTCTGATTCTTCAGAAGAAGAAAACTCAACACTGTGGAACAGGAGACAGGACATTAGATCCCTGAAGAACAAACAGGATACAGCAGTGCCCTGAAAGTAGACAAAGAGAAGAGTCATGATAGTTGATGACATCCTAGATAGAACAAGGAACTGAAACAAATACAATGCTGCAAAAAGGTATCCTTGAAGACTATTCAGAAACTGCAGTAGATACAAATCGCAGCAACTGGCTAATTGACTGGCTGGCTTTCAAAAGTCACCCTAGACATCTAGACTATGGGCTCACTGTCTATTAACAGGCTTTGAAGTACAATTTAATGTGTTGGTTTTAACAATAAAGTGTTATGCCGCTTGGCTTCTGTGTACCTTCAGAACAGCTTTGTTTGTAGATACTCAAGCCCTCTGGTTTGTACTCCCTGAAGAAAGTCTGCTGGAGGTCTGCCATTATTGAAAAGTCAGGGGAATGGTCCAATAGGTAATGTTTCTACATTGTGGACCTTATGAGTAGTCTCCCCCTTGAGCCAAGCTAGCGTAGAGCTTCATGGCTTTCCAGAAGTTAGTAAAAATAAAGCCTTTCCAAATAGTATTAATTATTTACTGTATTTTTCAGAGTATAAGATGCACCGGAGTATAAGATGCAGTTTAATATTTGGGGAGGAAAATTCAAGATTCAACACTTCAAGATTTATAAAGTCCACGGTCAATTATCAATTCTAGATAATAAAAAGTAATGCTGCCAAGAGCACCTAAAACTGTATCACCATGAACTCTAAATATCCAGAAAGAAGCTCAAATGTATTCTCATTCACAAAATAGAATTGGAAAGGGAAAGAATAATTCAACTGAATGAAACTGTTTCATGAGAGAAATTTGATTTCTGGGACTATGTGGATAATAGATTACTAATATAGGATGTTTGAATGTAATGAAGTCTGGTAAAAAAATATATCTGAAAAAATGCATAAAGTTGAATTGTGAATTGAATCTTGTATGGGCAGGATATCACATTCTTGAAGTAAACATCCCTGTGAACTACAGAAAGTAGTTTGAGTACTGCTGTAATGGAACCACCAAAAATTAGAAATATCACTGAATCATAAAATGCATGACTTTTGCTCTTGATATACTAATGTTCAGAGTATAGAAAATTTAAAATGTTGGAAAATTGTGTTTTTCATCAATCCTAATAGCATGTTACAGAGATATTTGCCAATATCTCAAATGGTTGCCATTGAGAATTTTATAGGGGCCATGGTGGCACAGTGGTTAGAATGCAGTATTGCAGGCTAACTCTGCTCACAGCCAGCAGTTCCATCCTAACCATCTTAAGGTTGACTCAGCCTTCCATCCTTCCGAGGTCAGTAAAATGAGGAGCCAGATTGTTAGAGATAATATGCTGATTCTGTAAACTGACTTATATACTGCTTATATACTGCTCCACAGTGCTTTATAGCATTCTCTGAACAGAGTGCTATAAAGCACTGTGGAGCAGTATATAAGTCTACATGCTAATGCTATTGCTATTTTCCAGGATTATTCTGTTATATGATAATATGGAAAAGCATAAGGAGTGAGCTGGACATATTTTTATTGTGACCCATGGAAACTGTATACAAATAGGACAATGGACATATGCAAAGATATGTTCTATATCCATAGGAATCTCATAAGCTTTTAACAAAATGAATTCTAACTCATCAATAGACTTATAGATCTAAAGACCAAAAACTGCTTGTCTAGGTTATATTTCATGTAAAGCTTTTTAAATAATATTTTAAATTTATTTATTTATAAGTTTTGTATATAACCCAGTCCCTTAGCAACTCAAGATAACGGACAGAAATAGAATTAAAAGAAATAAATTTAAGCCTAAATAGTAATAAAATGATACATTTTGAAAGAATGGAAAGTCTTGCATAAACAAAGGTAAAGAAGGTGGCTTGCTTCAATTCTAATGGCAGTTTGTTCCACAACATGATCCCTGCATGAAGATAGCAGTATATGTGTTAATTTGCACAAGAGTAGTTGTTGGGTTCTATAATATGCAAGGCTTTATATTCCATGTAAGCAATAGAATATAAAGGTTTGGAAGGCAATTGCCAACCCAATGAAGTTGTTTCAATAAGGAAGTTTTATGGCAACATCAAGAAGCACAACACGTTATTAATCTACCACATTTTGGACAAACAGCAATTTCTAGACCATCTTCAAATGACCAGTAAGGTACATTCTAATAATCCTCAATATCAGGTTGTTGATTTGTAAGACACTCCTTACTAAAGATATTACAAGGCTGTCCACCAAAAGGAGACAAAACGAATCCTTAAAGATCAGAATGTGTTCTACCCACGGGTGAAATGCTCCCGGTTCGGACCAGATCACCTGATCCAGTAGTGATGGTGGCGGGTGGTTCGGAGAACCGGTAGCAAAAATCCCTGCCCCCCCACACCCCCATGCCCAACTGAGCTGCGCGATCATCAGAGGCTTTTTTGTTTTTTACTTTTAAAAGCATTTTTTCTACAACCTCTTCGGCCAAAAAAATGCTTTTAAAAGTAAAAATAAAGCCTCTGATGATCGTGCGGCTCAGCTGGGATCGTCAGATGCTTCTAAAAGCATTTTTTCTACAACTTCTTTGGCCGAAGATGTTGTAGAAAAAATGCCTTTAAAAGCCTCTGGTGCTCCCAGCTGAGTTGCCTGATCCTAAGAGGTTTTTAAAAGCATATTTTTCTGCAACTTCTTAAGGTTGTAGAAAAAATGCTTTTAAAAGTAAAAGTAAAAAAAAAAAAAGTTGGCCACGCCCACCATCACATTAACCCCCCCCCCCACCAAGCCATGCCCACAGAACCGGTAGTAACAAATTTTACATTTCACCACTGATTCTACCCTGACAACATTACAACATCCTTCAAAACTTGACCAGTCTCTCAGAGCATTGAGCCTCTGTCAGTTGTTTTTTGTTATGTTGTATGTTTTCTAATTGTGCATGATTCTGTCTTATTGGTTTTATGGTCCTTTCTTAGAGAGAAGCTTCTACATTTAATAAAAAAGAAATGAACTCAGATCCCGAAGTGCTCCACAGCATTTCTCCTGAATTCTGAAGTTTAGCCCTTAGACTCAGTAACCGCTCCATCTGGTCAAAATTGAGTTTTGTCTGTTAAGCCGCATCTAGTACTTTATAGCCCAGAAACATTAAACTATATAATATATAGTTATATAATAAAATCCCTTCCCTGTGGTTTTCTCATTTCTCCATTTTTCACAACTGCACCTCTTAAAATATTATATTGATGCAGTTTTCCCCGTAGTTGGATTTTTAAAAAGTGTTTTAAAAAAACAAAACAAAATCCTGCTGAACCTTAGAAATATTTTTGTCTGAAACTGAAACAAAATTTAGTGATATTTTCAAATCTTCAATAGCATCATCATACTTGCTCCCCACCAAGCCTCCAATATGTTGACACTGTAAAAATCTAAATCAGGACTTCCGCCTATTATATTTCAGAGTTGTCTTTCTGGAAAAGCCAAATAATAGCTAAAAGGTAGAAAGTCCTGCAGCACTTATGTAGATTGTTGATATTTAACACCAGACAAGTTATCAAGAATGTATAAAGGTATTTCAAATTAATGTTGGAAATGCAAATGTAATCCTAGGAGTAGGATTCATATTCTACAGAAAATTCTTAAACTGAATATAAAGATAAAACCAGAAATTTTGGGGGTGGATGATTTAATGGAAAAAGACTTGGGGAAAAAATTTTTTTTCGAACTTTGATATTATATATGTTGAAGGCAGCAAGATTACTTTATGCACAAAAATGGAAGGACACTTTGATTCCCACAATGGACAAATGGCTGCAAAAGTGAGTTAGCTGAGATGGCTAAATTGACTGCTTTGATAAAAGAAAAAAACACAAGTACTTTTGTTTCTGCTTGGAAACCGCTTCTGGACTTTGTGCTCAAGGTGGAAAAAAATGATACTTTGATTTTGGGTTTTACCGATTAGATAGATTTGTTGTTATAGAAATGGCTAGTTTATACTATTATGTAAAAGTAAAAAGTTGAGGTTTGATGCAGTAGTGGGTTTCAATTCTGTTCGCTACTGGTTTGCTTGTGGCTTCTGCGCATGTGCAGCCTCCCGCCACTGCCGCTACTAGTTCGGCTGAACCATGGCGAACCAGTAGCAACCCACCACTGGTTTTATGTTACCATCTTATTCTATGCACCAAAGGGGTCAGAAGTCAACACCTTATCTTTCTTTTTTCCTCCTTTTCCCTTCCCTTTTCCATCCCCTATTATTTGCTTTTGTATTTTTTGTATTTTATATTATAAATTAATAAAAAGGGTAAGATAAAAATCTAAATCAGGACTTCTGCCTAATACGGTATATTTCAGAGCTTTGTTTCTGGAAAAGTCAGATAATAGCTAAAAGGTAGAAAGTCTGGCAGCGCTACACATTGGAAATATTTTTACAAATTGTAATTATCTTGCATATTCCAAGATGGCTCCTGTAAATAGTAAAAAACCAAATTGGTTGGGTAGACTAGTAAATTTTTAAGGTGCTCAAAACAGAAGCAAAAGCAGAGGTGGGCTGCTGCCGGTTCAGGCAAACTGGTAGTTCTGACCAGCAGCTGGGCCCACCCATCCTGGCACTATTCCGTTCTATATAATCGCCTTTTTTCCGATGCTGCGCGCATACACGGAAGGTTTCGCACACACGCGCTCACATTTTCAGTTCTGGGCAAACCGGTTGTTACAGTATGTGATGCTCACCTCTGAGCAAAAGCCATCATTGGAATGAGCATAGTAGGATTCATCTATCTATCTATCTCCATATCTGTCTATAACTATATGTATATCTATAATCTGCCTATCTATCTATCATCTATCTATCTATCTATCTATCTATCTATCTATCTATCTATCTATCTTTATCTTTCATTTTTAAGGAATAAAACGTAAGATTTATTAATTTTCTTAATTCTTCCATCTTTTATGCCTCTTTGCTTTTTTAAAAAAGAACTTTTGTCCTAGCGATAAACTTCTCATTATTTATGACAGCTATTTTTATTCCATGTTGCAGGATACCAGTT